GCTAGGTGACTTTGTCAGCCCCATAGCAGAGGGAGGCTCTGATTTCCACAGGTACCAGTAGAGGGCAAGAATAAGCTATGAGGCAGATGGTTAGGTGAAAGCCTATACATTAAACTATGGGGCCCTTGGTCCCTGTGCAAAAAAGAGTTCACATAGCAGGCCTGAGACTACTATCCTTTGAAAGTCCTACTGGCAAGGCTGGCTCATGGCTAGTGCCTCGGAACTTTTATTTCAGGCAGGTTCCCACCATTCCCTAACTGGTAAGAATGGCTCACTGTGTCTAAACATTGTTCATACAATGTGGTTTATACTAAATATCTGTTTTCCTTCTAGAAGTCTGGAGTTTTGGTACATGTTAGGCAAAAGATGCCTATGTAACCAGCCCCCATTAAAAACCCTTGGGCACTGAGTCTCTAATGAGCTTCCCTGGTAGACAAACTTTATACATGTGGTCATAACTATTAAGTACATCCTATAGAACCCCTCTTAGAAGCTTGTACCTGTTTTCCTATACACTCCACCCCATGCACCTTTTCCCTTTATCAAGTTTGCTTTACATCCTTGCCCTGTAATAAGAAATAGCTGTGAGTACAACTATACGCTAAGTCCTGTAAGTCATAGTGAATCACTGACCCAGAGGGTGGTCTCAGGGACTCTCAAACGTTCCCTTTTGCTGGCCCTGCTTCCAGGATTATATCCTACACTGCAGAGGACTGGAAGCTTCTCCTTGAAGAAAATGAAAAGTCAAAGAGAGGCCGAGAGTGGTGGCTCATGCCTATAATTCTAGCACTCTGGCAGGCTGAGGCGGGCAGATTGCTCCAGGTCAGGAGTTCGAAATCAGCCTGAGCAAGAGCGAGACCCCATCTATACTATAAATTGAAAGAAATTAATTGGCCAACTAATATATATAGAAAAAATTAGCCGAGCGTGGTGGTGCAAGCTTGTAGTCCCAGCTACTCGGGAGGCTGAGGCAGAAGGATTGCTTGAGCCCAGGAGTTTGAGGTTGCTGTGAGCTAGGTTGACGTCACGGCACTCACTCTAGCCAACAAAGCGAGACTCTGTCTCAAAAAAAAAAAAAAAGAAACTCTAAAAACAAAAACTACAATTAGTACCTAAAAAAGTAAGAAAATATATTGCACTCATAAAATAAGAGCACGAGGCTATGAAAAGAAGCAATCAGAGGACAAGAAAAAGCTCTACAAATTTAAAATATGATGACCAAAATGAAATACTGAATACAAGGGCTTAGAAGAGTTGAAAAAATTGTCCACGGAAGCTGAAAAAAATTAAAAGAGAGATGGAAAATAGAGAAGAGATGCTAAAAAAATTAAAGGATTGATCTAAGCAGTCCAAAATTCAACTGAAGGAGAAGAGAATATATGGAAAAGAGGAAATTACCAAAATAAATCTCACTATTTCACCACCCAAAGGGGAGGGTGTCAGGTTGAAAGGACCCAAGTGCTGAGCACAATCAATGAAAAAAAGAATCACACCAAGAACACATAATTGTAAAATTTCAGAATACCAAAGAGAAGATAATACTAAAAAGCTTTCAGAAAGTTCCCATTTATAAAGGAATGAGGAATTTGCTGATGTCAAATTCCTTAACGGCAATACTAATAGCAGACATACTAGAATTAAATCTTTAAAATTCTGAGGAAAAACCCAGACTTTATACTCAGCCAAACCGTAAAAAGGTAGAATAAAGATATTTTTGAGACATGCAAGAACTTAGAATTTTATCTCTTCATAGAAAGCAACTGGACTAAGTGCTTCAGCAATATGAGTAAACCAAACCAAGATTTAGGTAGCAGAGGATCCAAACCAGGAGAAGGGTGAAGGAAAGTCCTAGGACAATAGCTATGCACCAAACCTAGAAAACTTTATCTTCTAGTCCTTCTATTCAGAATTCCATTTTAACTATCATGTTTTTAATTTCATAGAGCTCTTTCTTGTTCTCTGATGGTTTCTTTCCATAGCATCTTATTCTTGTTTTTTTTTTTTTTTTTGAGACAGGTCTCGCTTTGTTGCCCAGGCTAGAGTGAGTGCCATGGCGTCAGCCTAGCTCACAGCAACCTCAAACTCCTGGGCTCAAGCAATCCTCCTGCCTCAGCCTCCCGAGTAGCTGGGACTACAGGCACGCGCCACCATGCCCGGCTAATTTATATATATATATTTGTTGGCCAATTAATTTCTTTCTATTTTTATAGTAGAGACAGGGTCTCGCTCAGGCTGGTTTTGAACTCCTGCCCTTGAGCAATCCGCCTGCCTCGGCCTCCCAGAGTGCTAGGATTACAAGCGTGAGCCACCACGCCCGGCCCTTATTCTTGTTTTATAGGTGATAAATCTTTTTTAAAATCTCTTTTTAAAAAAATCTTCAAATTCTCAAAGCCTTTCAATTTAATGCCAATAAAAAATAAAAGCGTTTAACATTAATAGTCATAATATTGAAAAATTACTACAGCATCTTATCATAACATCCATTTCTAGAAGGAGAAATGCCATGATAGTTTCTGATAGTACTGACATTTCAGTGGAGAAAAATTAAAATTTTAATACAACCTATAAGGCCTCCCACCAACTTAACCCCCAAATTGCATATTTGACACTATTAACACCATTCCAGATTTGGAAGCTGGACATGTAGTTGTGGATGAAAACAATACTAAGCAAACTGGGAGAAAAATAATCTTTCAAAACTGATGACTAAAAACACTAGGTATGGTTTTTAATTTTTCTGTATTTTGCGACATTTCTGCAATAAAAGATAGTGTATTACCATAAAATAAGAGACTCAAAACTTATTATTTAGGCAACAAAAGTGTCAATATTGCATTGAAATGATTACCCCCACATGGAAAATTATTTTGGATGAGATATAGCATACCATATACAATTCTACAAATCATAATGAGCACAATGCACATTATTTTTTTAAAAAGAGCAATCCTCCACAAATTCTTTAAACCATTCTATACCCATAAGCCATACTAAGTTTTGCTTGCCACCATAAAACGTCCCCACATGCAAAAGGTAAGAAAACACATTTTACAACTCCCCTTCCTAGAATACACTTAAAATTTGAATAAGAAGACACTAACAATCCAGACAACTAGGGACTGCAAAATGATACCCAAATCCTTTAAGCTTATCCTAAAGATTTACAGAAAGGATAATTTAGAGGTGCCTTTTGATTTTACAAGAGAATTCACAGTAGCATTGGCAATTCCAGCGGTGCATTTAAAGTCCTTAAGCTTTTCCTAATTACTGAATAAAATACAGCATTTGTATTTTCCAACACCCTAGTAAGAACAATAATTACAGCATTCTACAATTCCCCAATATGCCCTCATTTTTAAAAAATCCATAATCTTTTGAACCTCAGAAAGCGGCAGCTTTTTCTCAAGCCAGCAATCCCTTTTCCTATCCTTGCAAGATAAGAAGTAGGCGCTCCTTTTCCACTTAAATTAACCCAGGGGCCTGGGAAAGGGCAAAGCAAGCTGAAACAATGTCACCAGAACTTGGACTTGGAAACCAGCGCCAAGGCCGATGACATAACACCAGAGCGTTCGGCTTCTGCAAATGTCTACCATTCACTCCACTCCTGGCACACATCAACTCACACACACGCCACGAAGACCGGGAAAGCGCATACAGTGCAGTACTGGTGTTCGGTTGCACTACGAGCAATTCACTGAATCACTCTGCTCCTCCGGAGAACTGGAGGGAGACTCAGGCCAGAAGGGTGAAAAGAGCTGCTGCTGCTATGAAGTGCCCGCAGACGGGGACGTGAGCAGTGTCCCTTGTGACTCTCGGAACATCCCAGCAGCCGGGCCAGCAGGACAGCCCCGCGCGCTGGGGGACAGCCTGAGCCCGCGGCCGAGTTCCCTCGGCTAAGTGGATGGCGGCCGGGGGGGGGAGGGGGGGGGCTCACGCCATTCGCCATTCCAAAATCTGGAACCTGGGTACGTGGCTGCCGGTGAAAGCACGCCTAAGCAAAGCGGAAAAGCAAAAATAATCCTTCAAAGTTGGTACTTCAAAACACGATGCATGGCTACTTTTTTTTGTACTCTGAGAAATTTTCTTTAATGAAAAAAATCTATTACAGTCAAATTTTAAAAAGCTCAAAAGTTATTATTTGGGGGGGGGGGAGGACCAATGTTGCATTTAAATGACTACCCTAACATCGAAAAACAATTTTTGGATGAGCCAGAGCATATTATGCAATTCTACAACGTAATTTTTACAAGAGCAATTTTCGAAAAGAGCTCGAGCTCATCCGAGCTAGTTAACCGACACAGAAGCTATGCTGCGATCCCTCAACTCGGCCCCCCTCCAAAGCACCGTGCAGTGTGCTCTCCCCGGACCGAGCCGACCCCGACTCGCAGGAAGCGCTGCCGGGACCGCCGGGCCCGGCATGAAGCAAGTGCCCGGGAGGCCGCCGGCCCCGCCGGGCGGACCGCGGCTCTTGGCGGACCGCCTGGCACAACCGCACATGCAACTCGTTAGGCACTAAAGACAGGCAGACCCGGGAGGGCCAGCCACCGGGGGAATCTGGACCCGACCCCCGCGACGCGGCGCCCCGCCGGCCCGCTCCTTCCTGCCCACCCACTGCCGGCTGCCCCGAGCACGGGCGAGGGTGGGAAGCACGGGGGCAAAGGCAGCGCTCACCACTTCAGTGGGTCAGAAACCCCCGGCGCCCCAGCAGTCGCGGAGACGGGGCTGGGCGCCTCGGCCCAGGCTGCCGCCGGGGTGGCAGTCCCCGCAGCAACGCGGTCCCGCGGCATCGCCAACGGCGCGCACAGCAGCGGCGCAGCTCCCCGCGCACCTCGCACGCCCGCACGCCGCCCCTTGGGCCCCAGGGCGCAGGGCTCCGTGCGACTGGGCCCGCGCACCCCGGAGGCCAGCCAATGGGCGCGGAGCGCGGGAAGCCGGGGGCGGGGCGGAGCGCGCGCACCGCCCACCTGGCCCAGCGGCCGAGCGACGCTGCGGGCTCTGCGGGCTCTGCGGGCTCAGCGCGCGCCCGCCCGCCCGCCGGGAGTTCCTCAAATAAAAGAGCCCGTTTGAGCACGTACCTCAAATAAAAGATCTGTGAAGTCTAAGACCTTCGGGACGCACTTCTGATTTTGCGGGGTCTTTGTCTCCTTTTTCGGACAAATACTTCTGCGTCTGCTGTTTACAGAACACCTATTGAGGGCCAGCCACAGTGCTTGGGGGCACACGAGAATGAGAAACAGCCCCTACCTTCGAGGGTCTCCCAGTCATTCCGGTGGATGAGCAGATATGGAAACAGGTAACTAAGGACATTCCAATATTAACAGTCATGTGATATGGGGCGGGGGAGGGGCGAGGAGATTGTGGCCGGGAGTGAACTAAAAGGCTTGTTACCCTGGAATTCTGGTGGCCGTGATTCACAGTGTATAGCAAGCCACTCGTTACTTTCTTTTCCTTTTTTCTTATAGATAACTAGGTAATATGTGTGACATGGTTAAAAATTTCAGTTGCATCAAAAATATATTCAGTGAAAAGAAAGTTCCATCTTCCACTGCCCCCACTTCCCTCAGTTTTCTTTTCTCTTAGGCTACTACTGTTAACCAGTTTTATACATCTCCTTTCAAAGACATTCTGAGTGTTAAAAAAATTTATACATATGTGCACACTATATACACACCAATGTGTGTACTTTACACATTTTTTTGCCACTTTTCTTTGCTTACCACTGTATCTTGAATGGCTTTCTTTCTTTATAATGAACGTATAATATTCCATCATGTTGTTGTTTCAAGTTGTTTCTGTTCTTCTGCTATTACAAACAATGCTAAGGTCAGTATTCTTATTTATAGCCATTTGGCATTTGAGAAAATGTATGTCTAGGGCACTAAGTGCTTTGGTGTTGAATGCTGGATTGTAAGGTAGGGACTTTAAGAATTCTGATATATGTTGCCAAATTGCTCTCTGTACAGTTTGTTTCAGTTTTTGCTCCCATAGCAATTTATCAGAGTGACTATTTCAACACATCTCTCTATATAGTATGTTATCAAACTTAATTTTTAAGTTTTCTGTGAACTATCTGCTCATCTTTGCCCATTTTTCTATTCATTTATTGGTCTTTTATGAAACTGTAGAATACTGTGTATACATATACATAAAATAATGAAATGAGTCCATTGTGAATTAAGTTTCTTATCTTTCACCTGCCTTGCCTTTTGGCTTTGTTTACTGTATTTTTTCCAGTCAATTATTTTTTATTTTCATATAGTCACATTAATTTTTTGAAGTTTTAGGGATTTTTTGTTTTTAATCTTTCTTAGAAAGTCTGTCACTATCCCCAAGATTCAAAAAGAAATCTCCAATGGTTGCTTCTAGTCTGTTTGATATCTTTATGGCTATAGTATGTAATATATTATATAACGCAAACAATCTACAATAGTAATAAAATGTGTTGTGACAAAGAAATTAAATAAAGGCAAAGGATATAAGTAGTTCTCCAAAGAACATATACAAATGCTAATAAGCACATGAAAGGTGCTCAATCTTAGCAACCATCAGGGAAATGCAAATCAAGACCATAATGAGATACCACTTCACACCCACTAGGATGGATATAATCAAAAAGAGAGATAATAACTAGTGTGGTGTTGTAGACTGAATTGTATCCCTCTAAAATTAATATGTTAAAGCTCTAACCTCCAATGTGACTGTATTTGGAGATAGGGCCTTCAGATAGGTAATTAAGGTTAAATGAGTTCATAAGGCTTAGGTCCTAGTCCAATATGACTGGTGTTTCATCCTGTAAGAGGAGGAAGAAACACCAGGGATATGCATACAGAGAAAAGGCAATGTGGGGACACAGTGAGAAGATGGCCATCTGTAAGACAAAGACAGAGATCTTGGGAGAAACCAAACCTGCTGATACCTTGAGCTTAGCCTTTTAGTCTCCAGAACTGTGAGAAAATTTCTGATGTTTAAACCACTCAGTCTGTGGTATATTGTTTTGGCAGCCCTAGCAAACTAATACAGCAAGGATGTGGAGAAATTGGAACCCTCATACACTGCTGGTAGGAATGTAAAATGGTACAGCCACTTTGGAAAACATTCTGTTGGTAATTACTCAAACAGTTAAACATAGAGTTTACCATATGACCCAGCAACTGCACTCTTTTGTATATACCCAAGAGAAGTGAAACATATGTCCACACAAAAATTTGTATATGAATATTTACATCAGCATTATTGAACATGGGCAAAAAGTAGAGACAACCCACATGCCCATCAACAGATGAATGGATAAAGCAATGGGATATATCCATAGAATGGAACATTATTCAACAATATAAAGGGCTGAAATACTGTTACATGTTATAACATGGATGAACGCTAAAAACATTATGCTGGCTGGGCGCAGTGGCTCACGCCTGTAATCCTACCACTCTGGGAGGCCGAGGTGGGAGGGTCACTCAAGGTCAGGAGTTCAAGACCAACCTGAGCAAGAGCGAGACCCCGTCTCGACTATAAATAGAAGAAGTTAATTGGCCAACTAAAAATATATATAGAAAAAATGAGCCAGGCATGGTGTCACATGCCTGTAGTCCCAGCTACTCAGGAGGCTGAGGCAGAAGGATCGCTTGAGCCAGGAGTTCGAGGTTACTGTGAGCTAGGCCAACATCACAGCACTCTAGCCCAGACAACAGAGTGAGACTCTGTCTCAAAAAAAAAAAGAAAGAAAAGAAAAGAAAAAAGAAATACTATGCACATTCCACACATGTGCACTGTGGGCCCAGGACAAGTCAGCTGCTAAGCAGGACAGGCAGTGGTGGCAAAAAACACCTGGTGGGCTGGATAAATGTCCTCTGCAGGCCACATGTGGCCCACAGGCCATAGTTTGAGGACCCCTGAATGTAAACCCTGATGAGTGTACATAAATAAGTGTACATTGCTGAGTATATGAGGAAGAAATTTATTAATAGTAGTAAATGGTACCTTTATTCTTCTTAGGGGAAAAAAACTGTCTTTGTTTAAGAAAATACCCTGATAAGCTGTTTCAGGTATACAATAGACAAATATGGGTATGAGCAGAAGCCTTGGCTACGCAAGGAAAAACTGCTTTGCCTGAAACCATGAGATGAAATTTAGTTTTGCTCCCCAAAGAGAGGAGAATAGAGTGGTGAGAAGAGATGGGCCAGGCACAGAGGGGATGGGAGAGACAAGTAAGGAGGAAAAGAGAAGTTTCTGGGTAGTGCACAGAATGAAGGGCTAATGGGGACTTTCTGGTGACAGGGTGGGAAAATGGGCTTTTTAAAGAACAAGAGTGTCTAATACATAAGTTTAAAGTTATCTTCCCAAATCTTAATATCTTGCTAAAACTTTGTGTTCATGGGGTTTTGTAAAAACTGAGGAAGATCACGCCTGTAATCCTAGCTCTCTGGGAGGCCGAGGCGGGCGGATTGCTCGAGGTCAGGAGTTTAAAACCAGCCTGAGCAAGAGCGAGACCCCGTCTCTACTATAAATAGAAAGAAATTAATTGGCCAACTAATATATACAAAAAATTAGCCGGGCATGGTGGCGCATGCCTGTAGTCCCAGCTACTTGGGAGGCTGAGGCAGGAGGATTGCTTGAGCCAGGAGTTTGAGGTTGCTGTGAGCTAGGCTGACGCCATGGCACTCACTCTAGCCTGGGCAACAAAGTGAGACTCTGTCTCAAAAAAAAAAAAAAAAAAAAAAAAAAAACTGAGGAAGAGGCTGACCTTGAAGCAGTTGGAACAATGAAAAGACAGCACACAGAGTAGTAGGGATTCAGGGGTGGAAAGAAGAAAGAAGCCCCTCAGGAATTACTGGTAATCTTGAGAAGGGCTGTCCAAATTGGATGTTTGGGGTGATCTTACTTAGATTGCAAAGGGAAGGGAGGCTCTAGCTGTCATTTGCCTTACATAAGGATAAGAAGATGACATGATGTAAATGTAGATGTTTTAAGTTTGTGAGAGGCTTAAATATATGAGTTTTTAAAAAGTTCCCCTTTGTCCTAACAATACTGATCTCTGTCCACTGACTAAATCAAAATGAATGGATCCTGGTTAAGCCCCTTACCTCAGCAAAATCCAGTGGAAGTGATGTCAAATGCAGCTGTGTGGTGGATGGGAGAAATGGAAATGAATATGTAAGATGTAACAGTTTATACCCACTCCTTCTTAGCAGTAAGACTGGAGTTTAGTTAGGTATCCAAAAATGTAGGAAAATTGTTCTAATGTGTTCTATGTCGAAGTGTTACTAGAGCAGAAAATATGATGAAATGCACAAGAAGGCTGGTATGTGAGAAAAGTTCAGAAGAGTGAATGTGTAAATGGCACTCTGAGTGAGCGTTTTGGATTTCTTAATTGCCCAACTCCAGACTTTATGACTTCCACTGACTTGGCCAGAGGAGAATTACTAACCAGCCCTAATTTACAGAAAGCAGGTCTGTGGCACAGGGCCTAGAAGTGATTTTCCCAAGGTTATAGAGCCAGCCAGAGGGTGAGCTGAAAATAGAACTGTACCTCACACTCCCATGCAGGCTATATGATAACTTGTGTACTGTCAGCAAAGAGTTGAGGAATGAATGTCCTGGAGAGGTTAGCATGGTTTTATAGCTAAAGGAGTCTTGCTCAACATTTATAAATGTTACTTGACAACAACAAATGGCCTACCTAATCTTATAAATAGTAACATCCTGGGCACTTAAGCAAAATTTTCAGAAAAAAATATTCCTCTTTGACAATTGAAAAATTTTTTAAATACACGTCTCAACTGTCATAAAGCCACCACTTATATAATGCTTAAGCCTATACTGATAGTCACCTTCAGCTCTCCCCCTCTAAAGACTAACCTTCCAAATAGTACTATAATGTCAGCAGGCTTACAGGATCTTATAGAGGTGTCTAAATGTTTTCATAAGTGCACGATTTTCTGGAGACGTAGGCCCTCACTGATAACTTTCAATAAGTTTCCTTACTGAATTAACAGAACTAGAAAGTAGAATAGGAGAATCTGATAGTTAGATCCCATGGCTCAGCCACTAAATTTATGTCTGCAGGTACCCAGGCCATGGAGGGATTGCTCAACTAACATTAGGCTCAGACTTGGGGATGTTTCAGGAAAACAACAAAGGCTAGGATCACTGCTAGGTGACTGTTCTCTAGGTCAGATGCTTACATTACACTTATCTAGTCAATAGAAAGCTTAAAAATTTATATTTTCAGGAGTATTATTAATCCCATTCCCACTTTTCAGAAAGGATTCTTTGTGATGATTGTAAAGTGGG